GAAGAGGCTTTCCACTCCCATTGAGTGGAAGCCCACAAGGGTAGTTCTACTCTGCTCCATAGGGTCGCTAAGAGTCAAAACTGACTCCAAGGCAGTGGGTTATTTAGTTATTTATTTTTTGGCCTCGCCATTGGATGGATTATTTTCGTTTTTTACGGTCTTATGGGCACTTCTTCCACATACCAGAAAATTCGATAGTTCAATCATATCAAGAAGAGTAGTCCAAGCATTGAACAAAACATGCTCCAATTCCACAACTTCTGCACGTACAATTCAGTGCCACTGATTAGACTGTTCATGTTGTACAACCATTATTGATATCCCTTTCCAAATTATTCCACCAACATTAACATAAGCTCAATGCCCCCCAAGCAACAACTCTTCCTCCTTCATTCCTGGTAAGCATTGGCCAACTTTTGTTTCTTTTTTTCTTAGTAGTTTTTGTGATATAAAATTCAAATGTCATACACTTCCATGGTTACTTTTAAAAAGAGGTGCATACACATCATCACAATCAGTTCTAATGCTCCCTCTCCCTCCCACATTCATTGTTTGCTCCCCAATTCCCCTTACTCTCTCCACCCCCCATCCCAGACAAACTACTGCAACAGTTAGAGTGTCTATGCATCCACTCCTTCTATGCATAAACTAGGTAACCAAACAGAAACAATAAAAACAAAGCAAAACGATGCAAGAAAGAAGAAAAGAATAATCATACAAGAGAGATAAAATAAAAATAAAAAGCAAGAAAGAAAAGACCACCAACAATATATAAAAAGCCAGAGAAGGAATTTCTGTCATGAAACAAGTGAGCTGAGAGCAAAATTCAGGCTGGGTCAAGAGGTAGGTCAACTGACCAAGTATCATATTATACCGTGGATTGATCCACGGTCAAGTTTGTAGTCATCTCTTTCTGAGAGTAAAGCTGTTAGACACTGGGCGGGTCATATCCTTCCAGAGGGCTGCAGGGAAGGGGATAGAGTGCCGCCAGCACCGTCGTAGGTAAATGTTGCCCAGGTTGCCCGCTGTTTGCTCTTCCTGGATTAGATGCCAAGCCTCGTTTGGCCCACAGGGATGCCTTCAGTGTGGCAGGGTGTTATTTTATTTATCTAGCATTTTATTATACTTCAACTTGTTTTATGTGGAACAGGCACTTACAGCTGGAGGTCAGTGATCTGACGGATTACCTAAAAGTCTAACCTTGGAGGGGAGGGTCCTTACTTAGGGTTTCAAACAAAATAAAACAAACCTGTATCTGAAGGACTTTTGTAAATTGGATGGCAGGGTCAAGGCTCTCAGGGAGGACTGCTGAAGGTGGAAATTCACATGGCCAAGTGTCATTCCTGGCGGGGAGCGTGCGCCCCATCTAAAGGACAGCCAGGGGGTCCTTGTGTAGATGAACATATAGAAGTGAAACTGGTTATTTCCACATATGTATGTATATGCGTCTATGCTGCACATATATCAATGAATAGGGTCGAGCCTAAGTCAAACCAAAAACTCACTGCCATTGATTCGGTTCTGACTCACGGACACCCTATAGGACAGGTAGAACTGCCCCTGTGGGTTTCTGAGACTAACTTTTCTACTGGGGCAGACAGACTTCTCTTTCTCCATTGAAGCAAGTGGTGATTTTGAACTACCAACTTTGAGGTTAGCAGCCCGACTTGTACTCCATTTCTGTTCCAGGGCTCCACGGTAGAGCATGCAGGTGGTAAAGTCATGACAACTTCTTAGATGTAACCAAATACCTAGAGGGATTGAGCCACTGGGCCTGGGGGCTCAGGACTGTAGTCTGGGGTGGGGGGTGGGCGTGTCACTGAGGTCAGCTGGCATAAAGTAGTTCACAAAGACTTGGCATCCTATTTGGGGAGCAGTGTCTGGGAACTGAGTTACTCCATAAACCTTCATTCAATTCATCCAGAGAGACAGAGAACAATGCAGACGAGGGGAGGGGGATAAAAGATTAAGAACTGGAGGAGACAACACCAAATTATAAAAGTTACATTTGACTGGGGATATTATGTTAAAATCATCATTGACCTTGTGATTTTATTACTTATCCAGTCTTTTAATATGACAAGAAGGTGTTTGCAGGTCTGTAAATTCTTCTCCCTGCTTTGTCTCTGAGCTTCCAAGCGACCTGGCAGAAGTCCAAAGTCCATGTCCACTGCAGCACCTGGTCTTATCTTTAGCAAAAAATGCAACCAACCAACCAAACTCACCGACATCAAGTTGATTAAGAACAGGCATCTACTCCCGTAAAGAGTTACAGTCTCAGAAACCCCCAGGGTCAGGCCTACCTTCTCTTATAGGGTTGCTTTGAGCCTTATTCTTTACCAATCCCAAACCAAATTCACTGCCATCGAGTCATTGCTGACTCATAGTGACCCCTGTGGGTTGCCAAGACTGTAACTGTTTGCAGGAGTAGAAAATCCAGTCTTTTTCCCAAGGAGCTGCTCGTGGGTTCAAACTGCTGACCATGCGATTGAAGCCCAATGTGTAACCACCAGGACTCCTGTTATTCTTTACAGGCAGGGTGGATGTGTTTCATCCAAGGACCTGGCTTCCAAGACCTCCCATCGCTCACAACGCGTCTAATTTAAGACTTAACCTAACTAGTAACACACGAGGGACCCCATTTCTGACATCAGTTCAGATGGTGCCCCCATGTGGCAATAGAATGTATACACTTCTTACCAGCCTACCAGCTTGGAGAGAACACAATTCTTTCTTTTTCAAATTTAGGGTGTTTGGCATCGGTTTCCTGTGCATATGAGACTTCGTTACCAAGGTTAATGATAAAGGACTGCTTCAAATTCACTCTGCCCAAGGGTAAAGGGGCTTCCAGGTCACCTGGCTGTTCCTGGGTGGTGAAAATGGTTAAACATACCCAGTCACTACTAGACAGATGGGAAGTTTGAGTCTATCCTGAAGTGAGTGCCACGGAAGAAAGATCTGACAACCTGCTTCCCAAAAACCAGCCAAGGGAAGTCTACAGAGCACAGTTCTACTCTGACACATAAGGGGTTCTCATGAGTTCAAACTGACTTGACAGCAACTGGTTAGAGATGGAGGGAATCCCCAGGAGCACACATAGCGTAACACCAAACAACCAACCTACCTCAGCACCTCCTTCAGCAGCCAACTCAGCAAATGTTTGTTGAGGACCTACTATGTGCTCTTGAGACTGGCAGCAGAAGGCTGCCAGTTTATAAAGTGTTCCAACTGCATGTTTCTTTCAAGGGCCGATGTCGATTCCATGTCTCTGGAAAGGTCTAGATGAGAACGCAGATGGCTTGGAGTCTTCTTATTTTAGAACCCAGACAGAATGGGCCCCCATGGCAGCTCTGCTAGTACCCCATGTCGATATGATAAAGGGAGAGAAAGTGGGAGCTGCCAAGGACATTGACAAGCAATGCGCGCAGACGGCATAGTCAAGAGATTAAATGACATGTTGCATTGGGTAACGCTGCCACGCAAGACATCTTTAAAAGTGTTGGAAAGCAAAAAGGTTCCTTCGAGGATAGGTGCACCTGATCCAAGCCATGACACTTTCAGTCGCTACAAATGCATGTGAAAGTCAGACACTTACAAAGGAAAACCGAAGTAAAATCGATGCATTAGCATTACTCTGCTGGTGAAGAATTTCGAAAGTACCACGGACTGCCAAAAGGACAAACAAATCTGTCTTGGAAGAAGTACAGCCAGAATGCTCCTTAGCGGCAAGGGTGGTGAGACTTGGTCTCACCAACTTTGGATAAATTGTCAGGAGAGGCCAGCCCCTGGAGAAGGCCATCATGCTGGCTCAAGCAGAGAGGCGGTGACAAAGAAGAAGGCCTTTGACAAGACGGGCTGACAGTGGCGGCAACAATGGGCTCCAGCAGGAGCGATGTTGAGGATGGCGCAGGGCCTGACTGACAGCGTTTCCTCCTGTTGGGCACTGGGTCGGAACTAACTTGATGGCACCCAAGAACCACTCTGAAGCAGGACCCAGTTGTTTGTTACATGGCCCTTGTTCCCTACTCCAAAAAAAAAACAAAACCAAACCAGTTCCCAGGTATTCGTTTGTAATGAATGCTTTACTGATGTGTTCGGGAGTGACCAAGGCTACTTTAAACACCACACAGCAAAGGGAACCTCACCACACCCGGTTGGTGGTCTCAATTTTCCCTTCCAAGTTCCTCTCTAGCCACCAGCCACTCCGAGACCCCTTCACGCCGCCCCCGTCACCTTTCTCCTTCCATGGGTTCCTCCCCAAAGGTGGGGGGGTGGGGAACACACCTGTTGCCTTCAAGTCTGTTCCAGACCACTCTTATCATCATGGGTGTATGTTAGCGAGTCCATTCCAACTCATAGCAGCCCTGCAGGACAGGGCTGATCTTCCCTTAAGGTTTCCTAACCCGTAACCTCGATAGGACAGATCATCAGTCTCCACACCTCTGCCTCCAGGAGCGGTTGAGGGGTTCAAACCATTGATCTTTCCATTAGCAACCTAGCACTTAGTACCTGCGCCTCCAGAGCTCATTTTCAATGCACGGCCACCCCGTGTGTTAGAGTACAAATCCATCATATGAGCCATAGGGTTGTTTTTTTTTTTTTCTGTAATCTTAACGGAACCCGACTGACAGACTGTTCTTCATGGTACCACAACCTGGGTTTGAACTGCAACCTTGAGGTTAATAGGCAACAGTTTGTGCCACTCAGGGACCTCCCGATTCCCCACCTCAGTCCCCAAATGACATTCGACCTTCTCTTCTTCTCTTGTATTTCTCATTATGTACGTGTTGCCAGAGCAGGTGCTGGGACTTCAGTGGTACGAAGCACCCGCCTTGTCTGTCTGTCTTGCTTTCTCCACACATCACCCCATCAGCGAATAAAGAGCCTGCTCTCTTTGGGAGACATGGAAAAGTGCACACTGCCCACAGCATCTGTCGTGGGACACAACACTTCCTTTGCATGGGTTGGGATTCACTTTGTGTTGCTTTGACCCTTGGCAGGTTGTGATACCGGGATGGGCCACGCCCTGGCCAAGTACCTGGATGAGCACGGCTTCACGGTATTTGCTGGCGTGCTGAATGAACAAGGATCAGGGGCAGAGGAACTGCGAAGAAACTGCTCCTCCCGGCTCTCTGTGGTACAGTTGGATATCACAAACTCGGCCCAGATAAGAGATGCCCACAGCAAGGTGGTGAGGAAGGTGCAGGACCGAGGTATGGCCCTCCAGAAACCCCTCCCCACAGATGGCTCCCCTCTGGCTCTTTCCTCTCATTGCCATTGCCCTCTGCTCCCTCTGGCTCCTGGGGTCATCTCCTCTGAGTGCCTAATGTATGCCAGGGACCCTCATGGACAGGAAGTCCTGCAGGGTGACTCAGATTCTTGCAGATCCTACCACACTGAGCCTCGTCTTTCTCTCCTAGAACTGCTGGTGGGTTTTGAACTGCTGACCTTAGGTTCACAGCCTGATATGTAACTACTCTGCCCCCAGGGCTCCAAGATGTCTTTATATCCCATCCCCTTCAACTTCCATTAGTCACCCTTTCCTTAACATCCCTTTTCTCTCCTCCCAGCAATACTGGCATGGGCTAGATTTCCCCAGCTTAAAAGTACACAGTTGTCCTCCATTTGCTACTGCCCCTTCTCTTCCCATTTCTGCAGGACCAAGCTCTCTGGAATGCTCACCACCCTGGGCTGTTCCTTCTTCACCTCCAGTTTGAAATTGACCTTTACCCTGCTACCTTTAGTGGCAAAGTTGATCAGTATACAGAGCACGAAGATTTTAACTGTGGTACAATACTTAAATGGGTTCATCATCCTTCTCTGCTTTGACTTTGGGGGTCCTCAGCCCCCTATTTTCCTTCAGTCTTTCTACTTCTCTTTTATGGACTCCTTCCTCTCTCTCCCCCCACTTTTGGGATGTTCCCCAGGGAGCTCCATTATCTCACTTCCTTCCCCGTGTTCCCTTGGCTCTACTGTTCCTCCACCTGCCATACAGTGGAACCACAGTGTAATGGTAGTGGTGCGTTGTTGACAAATAGATACCTAAGCTTGCACTCAGGACTGGATTCACATTTGGGGGGCATGCTATACAAATTAAAATAGGGGGGGGTTCTTTGTTAAAGGAAAGATTATGATTTGAAGACAGTGATTCAAAACTCTGCCATCCAGTTGATGCCAACTCATAGCAACCCTATCGGACAGGGTAGAATCCCTCCGGTGAGTTTCTATGACTATAACTCTTTTGGGGAGCAGAAAGCCCCCCTCTTTCTCCCACAGAGTGACTGGTGGTTTCAAACTGCTGACCTTGTGATTAGTAGCCCAACATGTAACCACCAGGTCTTCTGAAGACAGTGACAGCAGAGTTTTGGACAAGGCGTAGGACCCTCTGGATACCTGATCTGTGTGATGGCATAGGCCTGGGTCCCGTGGAGCCCCCCACCCTAATCCAATGAAGCCAGCACCTCCAGGAGAGGGGCTTAGGTGTTTCTGAGGCTCTCTAGGTGGTCCGAAGGCTTGGCCAGGGTTGAAACACACTGAGAGTTATGTCACTAACTTCCAAATCTATACTGCCAACCTCATCCGTTTTCCTGATATAGAAACGTGTCTACCAACTGTTTCCACGTCTATTCTAGAGCCTTCAGTCTTAACCTGTCAAAATATAGTCTTCATTATCTCCCCTCACCTGCTGCCAGTCGGCTAATCAGTTTGCCCCTCTGCATTCCATGTCTAAAGACAAGGACCCTGCCACCATGCAAACCAGCAACCCGAGAGCCACTCAGACCGCCAACTAACCTCAGTCCCTACGTCTTACTGGTCCTGAGTCTCATAAATTCTGCTTCCCATATATTGGTTGCCAGGAGCCCTGGTGGTGTAGTCAGGTTCAGCAGTTTGAAACCACCAGCAGCTATATGGGAGAAAGATGAGGCTTTCTACTCCCATAAAGAGTTACAGTCTCAGAAATCCATAGGGGCAGTTCTACCATGTCCTATAGGGTCGTTGTGACTCAGAATCAACTCGATGGCAGTTGGTGTGGTTTGGGAGTTTGAGACATTGACTGTCCCAGCTTCTTCTCATCTCCAAGCACTTCCTGCAAGCCTCCTTGCCCCTTGCCAGAGCTTCCACAATGACCTCCTTGTAACCCATCTTTCCTTCCCTGCTGTTTTGCAAAGGGAGGGTGGTCTTCACGAGGTGCACATCTTACCATACCATTCATGTCCTAAAGGTCAGCAGCAACCATGTCTATTGGGCTCCTCCCCCAGCCAGCCAGGACCCTCTCAGTTGCCATCTGAAATCTAAAGTCCTTAGCAAGAATTCAAAGGTCTTTTAGGCTCATGATCCCTGGCTACCCCTGGATTGGCACTACCCACTGTTCCACTCAGTCAATGCTGGATGCCTTCAGGAACACAACATGTTAATTTCACACCTCTGCACGCACAGCTTCCTCTTACTGGGATAGTTCTCTTGCCATCACTCCATTTTTTCCTAAGACTCTTCTTGCCTTTGTCCAACTGCAAATTCGATTCCCAGAGGAGACTCAGCTCCAACAGGACATCCTTTGCATGACCTTCCTCTTCTGGTCAATATTCTCTCTTGCATATACCCTCCCATCTTAGAGCTATCTGTCCATCTCCCACTCCCCCTTCCAGGATCTTTGAGAGCAAGAACCATGCACACAGCCACCAGGGTCCTTTCAGAGCCAAGTGACACAATCTGCTTCAACATTGCTAAAGCAAGAGAAGGGATGTAGTTCTTGACTGAGATAGTGGCAAGTCCAGTTGACTTTGGACATGGTTAGATCTAGGCATTCATGCAAAGTCATTAGTGTTCAGTCTATTTCTCAGCTCTGCTCTCTCCCATGTGGATTTCACTCTGGGCTTCCCATGAGGCCTCGGGCACTTCTAGCATGCACCCTCTTTAAGCTGACTTTGCTGGGGAGCTGAAGGATTGTTCGGGTTAACAGACAGACAGGCATCAGGGATATAGCAAGTTTGGACCCAGGTCCTCACAATAAAGTGAATATCGCAATCAAGTGAGTCCCAAGAGCTATTTTGATTTCCCAATGCACACAAAAGGTATGGTTGCATTAGGCTGTCAACTTTGAAGTGTGCAATCGCATGATGAAAGCATTTGGAATGTTGTGAGGTTGACCAAAATGAGACAGAGGGAGTACATGCCGCTGGAAAAACGGTGCCGACTCGGTCAATGTCGGGCTGCCATAGACCTTCCATCTGTAATGAACGCGGTATCTGAGAAACTCAACTCTCACTGCCATCGAGTTGATGTTGATTCCTAAGCAACATCCTCTGTGGGTTTCAAGACTCTGTTTACTGGTTCCAAGACTGTAACTGGTTTCAAACTGCTGACCATGCATATCACAGCCCAACGTGTAACCTCTATGCCACCAGTATCCAACAGGTCCCATAAAATGAGGTGCCCCTGCATTTAGATCATTCAGAAGAGTGAGAATGAGCATTGGTTCCCATTTCCCATTCATCTCTAGCTCTCTGTAGCTGACTTGTCAGCACTGTGCAGCTGACTGAATGGAACCCATCCCTTCCTATGAATGAGACATTCTTCCCTTCCCACCACCATCCTCACAGTGGCTGCTGCCCTCTTCCTATTTGCCAGGCACCATCTCACTGGATGCCCACAAACCATCGCTGTGTATGAACGTCAGCCCACAGACTCGTGGCTGGGAACCTTTTCCTCTAGAACTCTGCCCCGTTTCCTTTATGAACCATGACTCAGCCCAATGGCCCAAACCATTTCCTTAGCTTCCTGAGGAGGTGGGCCCATTCCTGGGGAGGGGACATTGATGGTCAGTGGTTCATGCTGGCCCCTGCAGATACGTCCAGTGCTCTGTGCACTTGCCACACTCTTGACACTTTTCCTGGTTGGCAGTGGAGGAGCAGCGCTGGTGCTGGTGGTGCTAGAGGCTCTCCGTTTAGGGCTCTCTAGCACCAAGGCATATACTCGACTGCTCCTTCCCCAGTGGCTCTCATCCGGGAACATGCACCAGGATCACCTGGAGGGCTGATGGAACCATAGGTGACTGGGCCCCACCTCGATGCCTGCTCAGGGGGGCAGCTGCCATTGTTGCTGCTGCTCTGGGGGCCACACTTGGAGAATTGCATGGGGTGTAAAGACGATCTGTTACCGTTCCACTTAGCTTAGCTAAACACATCTGTATCCTGTTCACCTAGGTAACAAGGAGCTAGCTCACCTACCTCTGCTCCAGACTCCTCCCCAACGTACAGCTCATGTCTTTCCAACCATTTAGGACACTGGTTCCCGTGTGGTTCTACATTGGAATCAACGGGTGAATTAACAAACAAAAACAAAGGAATGCCTAGGTCAGCCGGAGTTTATGACCTAATGGGTCTGGGATGTGGCCTGGGTATTGGCATTTGCTAACAGGTGGCCAAGGTTGGAAAACACTGCTCATAGGAAGAGGCTCTCCCACTGTGATTGGGAAACTGCAGTACCAGCATCAGCTGTGGCATCACCTGGGAATTTGTTGGAAATGAAAATTCTCAGCCCTTCCCCAACCCCCAGCCCTCAACTAGTTGAGCCAGACACTCCAGATATAAAAATGATTACAGCTTTGGAAACCCTATTTAGGGTCTCTATAAATTGGAATTGACTCGAAAACAGTGGGTTGGTTTATAGTACTTTTTGTATAGATATTTTTGTGGTTGATACATACATACATAACATTGCAAGCCACTGATGTTGAAAGTGTGAGTAAAATATAGAAATCTAACCTTCACAATAATAATAAAAAAAGACCATTACATTAGGGTTCCCTTTAAACTTGGGACAGAACTACCCCAGGAGTACACCTTTCAGCTAGTAACAGTTCGGCGTATAAAACATACTGGTGAGTATTGTGATGCTTTAATAAGTCCTTTCTAGGAGACCAAACAGTCCACATTTACCCTAACGCAAAGACAAGGAAGTCGAGGGTGGAGCAGGGAAGCTAGATAAATGGAAGTGGAATAACCAGAATGGAAAAGATGAGAATACTGAGATGGCATGGAAGATGTAATCACAGTCACTGAACGGTATGTTAAGAACTTATTGAGAAGGAACTTAACTTGTGCTGTAAACTTTCTCAATGAAACACAACAAAATGAAAAACGTTAAAATGCCCGTTGTGAATTAGGTGAGGGTTTGTATACGAGATCATCATTTTGGTATTCAACAACTTATCACAGTTCTCAATGGCTTGGCCTGTGTCCATCATTTTTTCTCTCTCCATCTCCCTCTTGTGGGCTATTTTCTTTCCCTTCACTCAAGTTAACACCTGCCTACTCTCCAGCCTACTGCTCCCCCTGCCCTCTCTTCCCCTCCTACCCCTGGTAAGCAGCAGAGGCTGTTTCTTTGGGTGTGAAAGCCTTTCTTTATTTTTTAAACAATAGTAGTCTCATACAATCTCTGTCCTTTTGTGATGGACATAAGGTCCTCCAGTTCCTTCCATGTGGAGAGGTGTTTCACAGACTCTCATTATCCTTCAACATGGAAGAAGCCCCCCTATGTTCTCCATTAAGAAGCCATTCTTTTGTATCTTCAGGACTATGGGCTGTGATCAACAATGCTGGTGTCCTTGGCTTCCCAAGTGATGGGGAACTCATCCCCATGACAGACTACAGACAGTGTATGAATGTGAACTTCTTCGGAGCTGTGGAAGTCACAAAGACATTTCTGCCTCTTCTCCGGAAAGCCAAGGGGAGGCTGGTGAACATCGCCAGCATGGCGGGTGAGTTGGTCCTTCCCCATGGATCCACATAGGGCTGGGTCAGGATGGTTCAAATTGTATATCCACCACTGACCTCCACACAGTGCAACCTTTCTCTTTCAAAATCCTCTCATGCTAAATGCCTTCTAGTTCATCTTACTCGTTACCGGGGGGCTGGGGCTCCTAAATATCTGCATGATGGAACTACCACTACAAGCTTGTCCAGAGTTGAACTAAAAAATCCCATCGGTTAGTTACAGGGAGCCTGTGCTCAACTTTCTCTGGGTTTGCCATTCTCCATTGCTCCCTTAAGATGAGGAGACAAAACCTTCTCTGTCATGTGCCCAGTTAGGGCCCCGTGTCTCACTCCACTCCCTGCTGGTATTTTTCCATAAGACTCTCCCCAGTGTTTTGCAATCTTTAGGCAATTGAGTCAGGACACAACTTGTCTCTGTGTGTAAGAGTCAACAACTTGAGTCAATGGCTTAACAGTCTCTCTGTCAACATTGCCTTTGTGCATGCTTCACGCACTTGATTTTAAGAGACATTTTCAAACCAGGCACTCCTCTGAATCTTACTCAGCTTTGGGGCATGGAGGTCAGCCCTGGATGCAGGGTGCACCTTCAACCAGAGGGGTGCTGCTCTACATTCTTTCTTGATTGACCCCAAAGATAGATGTTTCTTTTTGAAATCAAGAGTCCAAGTAGTTGGGTTTTGTGTTGTTCTTCATAACAACAACAGTTGCAAAGAATTTCTATTGGGAGTTCCTTTGCATTTTCTGGGCAATTACTATTGTCCCAGTACAGGGGGGGGGGGGGGAGGTATTAAGGGTCTCTGGATTTGAAGCCTCAAAGGTGAATTTCTGCTTGTTTCCCTGGCTTTAAGTAAGCCACCTTCTTGGATCTAACAGCTGTGTGAGTGTATTTCACTAGGGCTCTTGGTTGTCAGAAGGCATAACCACCCCACCCCCTCCAAATGGAGAGAGGAAATAAGTAATTTATATTTGGAATTGTGTCAGTAGGATTACTGGCTCATCTGAGGTACAGAGAAGGGAGTGAAGAAGAAAGGGAAGAAGGAAGAATGAAGGAAGGAGAAAGGAGAGGAGGAGGAAACAAGGGAGAGGAGGAAAAGTGGAAGGATGGATGGGTGAGTGGATGGAAGGGAGGTAGAAAGAAAAATAGATGGAAGGAAAAGAAAGAGTGGAAAGGAGAGGAAAGAGGAGGCAGGAGAAAGATTTCTAGGATGGGCAGGAACAGTGGACTTTAGAGTCTAACTCGTATGAGAACCCCGAACTATGTTCCCATTTCTTCCTACCTTGCTGAAGAAAATTAATCCTGCAGAAACATATTCATGTTATGTGCACCTTACCTCTGCTCTGAATTTTCCCTTCAAATAGGTGACCCATGTGGAAATCTCACCTCTCTCAGTTCCTGGCATAGTCTGGTATTTCTAGAAAAGTCTCACCCACACCTTCACTCACTTGTTCAACACATATCTACTGAAATGATCAATGGTTCTCTCTGTGGTGTCAATAGGTTGTTGTGACCCAGTTTGGTAACTAATGGTGTCACCTCTCACCCTGGCCTGGTGGGAATGGCTGGCTCACCTGTGGGCCCTGTGGTGAGTGATGGGGGTGGTGGTGATGAGCTGTGGAACTGGGTGATGGGTCACACCAACCCTAAAGTCACCACTGTCTCAGAGTCCCTTCCTCCTGCAACACCTTCTCACCCGTAGCCCCCCACCTCCACCCTGTGGACCCTGAAATTAATTTTGTCACCCTCTCTTACATGGCCAGGGCTGCTGTCTGCAATGTGCACCCCCTGCAGCCTCTGAGGGATGTCACTGCGTTGTCTTCTCTTTTTTCATATATATATTGAAAAAGTTTATATTTAGCATTAGCCAGCTGGGCTCACTTTAGATGATTCGAATTTTGTTGGAGCCAGTCGAACATATGCCTTCTTCTCACTGTCAGGCCTGATCAAGGTGTTGGCCTTGGCTACATCAATGTCATAGAGCTTTTTCACAGCCTGTTTGATCTGGTGTTTGTTGGCTTTGACATCCACAATGAACACAAGTGTGTTATCTTCGATCTTCTTCACGGCAGACTGTGATCAAGGGGAACGTGATGATGGCATGATGGTCCAGCTTATTTTTCCAGGGGGCGCTCTTCGGGGGGTATTAGGCTGCCTTCTCAGTCTCAGGATCTTGGGCCGCCGGAAGGTGGGTGACGTGTGGGTCTTCTTTTGTGTGTGGCTGTGGACGCCTTTCAGCACGGCCTTCCTGGCTTTTAAAGCCTTTGCTTTGGCTTCCATTCAGGGAGGGGCAGGAGCTTCCTTCTTCGGCTTCGGCGCCATCTTCGTGAAAAGGCGCGTTATCTTTTCTTGACACACTGACCAGGAAGTTTTTCCTCTGTCCTTCACTTGGAGTGGCTCATTTTGCAGAAGATGTTTACTTTAATGATCGCTTCCTGGCACCAGTATTTGCCGTGTGCCCGGTGTTCCCGGCAGGTAGTAGAAGCTCAATGAAGAAATGCAAGGATGTTGGGAATGAAAAGTACACAGATCAGTGAGAGAGAACTCACAGGCAGAGGCTGCCCACTCACACATCCTCTGCCTGGTTTCCAAGCCTGAACTTCATACTCTCTTGTTAAATATTCCCACTTGGGGTGAGCTTTGTGTGTTAAAATAAGCCACATACCTCATTTCTAGCCACGCCAGGGCATCCCCTGTTGGTGCAAGTTCCTGACACCGGTCTATTCCCATCCCACATTCTTACCTCGGTCACTAGGTCAACATGTCTGGAACCATCAGTCCTCTCATCATCCTGCTCAATGCTTGCTTTCCTGACTGAGCCTCCTGGGTCTTCCCCTCCCTGTGCCTTGATCTCCTTTCTGCCATCCCGCCAGTCGCTAAGGTGTAGGGATTCTTTGATCATGTCCAATGTCCCATCATGATGTCCTGGGGAAAGTCTAGACAGAAGGTCACCGAGAGCCTCTGGAAGCCCTCGAGGCATTCTGTGCGCAGCAGCAAGCACCCAGATGACGTAGCCAACGTCTGCACCAGCCCGGAGTAGGGGTTTGTTAGAAGGCCTGGGTGTTTGTCAAGCTTGTAGACGCCTACATAATGAGGACAGGTCCCTTTATTGGTGAGAGGTGAAGGGATTCAGCAGGGAGCAGGGTGCGGAGCTCCTCAGAACTTGCTGCTGAGCTTTGTGAAACAACGGCCCAGATCCTGAGCAGGGAAAACAAAAAAGCTAGGCTGCCACCCGGGACACGGCGGCCCGTGGTTGGTGGTTTCAGAGCACATTCTCAAAGTTGCGCAACCAGCGCTGTGAATGTTGTAATCATGCTGAAGGGAAGTTCTGTACCCGTGAGCAACCAGTCCTTGCTGCTCTCACCCCTCCGCCCCTGACAACCACTGATCTTCCTTCTGGCTCTATGGAGGTGCCAATTCTGGGTCATACCTGTCAATAGAATCATACGCCATGTGGCCCTTTGTGACTGGCTTCTTTTACTCCAGATAATGTTGTTGAGGCCCATCCATGACATGCGTCAGTAGCACTTTATTCTGTCCATGGCCCAATAATATCCCCTTGTATGGACATACCAAATTCTATTTACCCCATTGTATGGACATACCACATTTTATTTATCCTTGTGTGCATTTATAAAGGTACAGATAGACTACTCCCCAACTTTGGGGGCCGTTATGAATAATGTTACTACAAATCTTCCTGTGCAAGTTTTTGTCTGCTCACTGAAAACTCCCTGCACAAGTGAGCTGTCACTGCTGTCGCTTTCTGGGTCCTGGGGTGAGTCACATATGCTCTCGTGCTTTAGTTGTTTCCTCTTCAAACATGGAATTGATGAGGACAACCAAAGAGACCAGTCCCTGAGAGAGAGAAAGATGAGGCTTTCTACTCCTGTGAAAAGGAGTGCCTCTGTGAGCGCTTGAGACGGTGACTCGTTATGGGAATAGAAAGCCCTATCTGTCTCCTGCAGAGCGCCTGGTGGTTTTGAACTGTGGACCCTGTGGATCGCAGCTCAACTCGTTCCCCTGATGCCACCAGGGCCCTGGTACATAGGAAGTAGTAAATGGGACCTCAACAACTTTATCTACAAGACGGTAAAAGTGCTTGCCCACCCCATAAAACAAAACAAAACAAAACAAAAACACAATACAAAACCTGCAGCTGCCTACCTAGCCCTATCCGACTTATACAGCATCTCCCCATAGGGTTTTCGAGGCTGAAAATCTTTACAGAAATAGACTGCCCCATCTATCCCCCATAAAGTGGCTGGTGGGTTCAAATCACCAGTATATCGATTAACAGTCTAATGCCACGAAGGCTTAAAATATATTTAAAATACTTTACAGCACAGTAAGTGGCTGTACATTTGCGTGACTACCAATGTAGGCCTCAACCAGTGTTTGCAAAGGCAGTGGTGGCTTGGTGGTAAGGTGCTCGCCTTCCATGTGGGAGAGCCAGGTTCAATCCTTGGCCCACATTGTAGCTCATGAACAGCCACTGCCCATCGATCTTCCCGCATTTGTTGGCATGCTGCCGTGCTGCTGAGCAGGTTTCAGCGGAGCTTCCAGACTCAAACAGAGTAGGAAGAAAGGCTTGGTGATCTTCTTCTGAAAATCAGCCAGTGGACCACAATCATCTGATCTGTGGCTGATTGTGGGGATGCTGCAGTGCTGGGTAGTGTTTCCTTCCATTGTGCATGTGGTTGCCAGGAGATGAGGGTGAGGATTCTGCCTCTGAGAGCCCTTCCTTCACCATGGGCAATATTTAGCGTCAACCCACCGCTTTCCAGTGGCCAGCCTGGAGGGTCAGGGACTGGGGTGTTTGGAGTTAGGTACCAGCAAGTAGCGACTTTATGTACAAGAGAAGGAAACATGGCCTGGTCCCTCCATGGTTGTCATGCTGAGGGATAGAGAGTGTTCAACCTGCTGGCTGTAAAAACAAACAAACAAACAAACAAACAAACAAACACTGCCAACGAGCCAATTCTGACTTATAATGAGTATATAGGACAGGGTAGAACTTCCCCTGTGGGTTTTTGAGATTGTAACTCTTTGAGGAAGTAGAAAGTCTCGTCTTTCTCTGGAAGAGTAGATGGTGGTTTGGAACGGCCAAGCTTGTGGTCAGCAGCCTAATGAGAGACAACTAGGGCTCCCAAGGCCCATGACATCGTCAGTACCAACTAACATCACACCAAAGAGAAGCAGTTCTAGCCATCGCATTAGGGGTGAGTGCATGACATGTTTGACCAGAACATCCCAAGAATGATGTTATACACGCCCCAAAGGTTCCCCACCCCTGCTCTAGGGGCTGGAGTGAAAAAGCCTCTTCCGCTGGTCTGAGTCACATTTAGCTCAGAAGCTGGGTGAGGGGAACCTTCACATGGGTTCATCTCTGGTCCAGCTGAGAGGAACGACTATGGACGTCAAACAACCTGGGGCGGGGGATACTGAGAACACGGGTACGGGTGCTCTCATCTGCCTCTGGCTGGCACGCAGCTGTCTGGCTGGTCCCAGCAGGTTTGGGAGCTTTGCACACTGCAGGAGTGACTCATTCTGACTTGGTGTCGTTCCCCCTCTGCCCTTGCAGCAGGGATCCCGATGGAAAAGCTGGCTGCCTACAGCTCATCCAAGGCAGCGCTGGCCATGTTTTCGGGAGTGCTGAGACGAGAGCTCTCCAGATGGGGGATGAAGGTTGTCACCATCTACCCTGGAGCCTTCAAAACACGTAGGTGCCAGAGCCAGGGGCTCTCCAGTGCTCACTCCCAAGGACTCCGAAGGCCCTCTTTTCCTGGGAGGGCTCTAGGTGGACCTCTGGAGGGTGGCTCAGAGAAGAGTGGGGTGGGGGTGGGGGTGCCTTTCCTTGAAATAGATGGGCAGCCTCAGGATCTTCCAATTAAAATATCAAGCTCATTCTTTGCTGCCTTCTGGAGTCCCTGGGTGGTACAAACCTCAACCACGCTAGGTGACTACTAAAAGGTAGAAATACCTCAGAAGAAAAGTCTGCCTACCTATGTTCTGGGGGGAAACAAAAAAGACATTAACCAGCCCTATGGAGCACAGTTCTTCTCTGACACATACAGGCTTGCTCTGAGTTGAAGTTCATCCGAAGGCCCTCAAGGACTACATACACATACATATGTATGTATGTACGTGTATGTTTATGCATTGGGAGAAAGGCTGCAAACTCTTTCTGGGAGCAGAAACCCTAGTCTTTCTTGCATGGAGTAGCTTGTGGATTCAAACTGTTGACCCTACGAATAACAGCTCAGTGCACTCCACTACACCAGTAGTAGCTCAGTGGGTGTCACTGGTGTAGCGGGTTAACAGTGGGGTTCCTAACCTCAAGGTCAGTTGTTCAAATCCACTAGCTGCTCTGAGGGAGATGGATGAGGCGCTCTATTCCTGTAAGGAGAAACCCAACGGGGCAGTTCGACTCTGTCCAATAGGGTCACTGTGAGTCAGAATTGACTTGATGGCAGTGAGTTGAACGCCAGGTCCCAATGAAAAGAGTAGCAAATGCCCGCATGAGTGCTTACTTAAAACAGCAGAGGGGCAGCAAAAGAGAGGAAGGTCCGCTAGGAGAGGGACTGACACAGAGACTGCAGCAGTGGGCTCACGCACAGGAGCAATCTGCGAGGGTGGGGCGGGCCGGGCAGTGTTTCGCTCTCTTGTGCACAGGGATGCTGTGAGTTGGACGGATGTGGTTGTCTCTGTGATGACTGGATGCCATCGACAACAGCAACAACCACAACGGTTTAAAACGGGATTGTGGGCCGCGCCCTTCCCAATAGAAGTCCGTTTAGAACAGTCTGCTTTCTTGCTAGGGGTAGGCATTTGTTCCCCAAACGTCCTCCCCGGCCTCGGACCCTGTGCTCACCCACCTCTCCTCTACTGTCCTAGAACTCACAGGCACTGAAGAGATGTGGGACAGGATGGAGAAGAACCTCCTGGATGCCCTCACTCCTGAGGTGCAGGAAGACTACACCGAGGACTATATTCTTTCTCAGCGGAACATCCTCCACTACATGGCCCTGAGTAGCAGAGAGGACTACTCGCCCTTCATCTTGGACGTTCAGCATGCAGTGCTAGCGAAGAGCCCCTTCGCTCTGTACTCACCAGGCAGAGAGTCTCTCCTGGGGCTCTATGCTATCTCTTTCCTCCCCACGTCCGTGTGTGATTTTCTCAGCAAGCAAGCACCTTTGCAGCTCTTAAAAAAACACCCACCGCCTTAGGAAGGCGGACCTGGAAGACTAAGGCCAGGCCACTTGGTGGGAAGCTCTGGACTTCAGGCAAGTGGGAAGCAGAGGCCCAGAGGTGTGAGCTTCTGATCCAAGTTGCTTTTTAAAATTGGGGTTAACAAGATAGAAGGTAATGGGCATGGGTTGTTAGATACAAAACTAATGATCTGCTATGTAAACCTTTCCCAATAATAATAAAAATAAACATCCTGGTGATCGTGGTAGTTGCGTGATTTCAAGTCAACGTGAAGATACATAAAAGTGTAGGGGTGGTGTTCAACCTGTCAATCGGGTCACAGCCAGATGGTGCCTTTCTGTGGGTGTGGCTTCTCATAAGGAGGGTCCTGAGAAGCTCTCCTCTCTGCCTTCACCTTCCTGCTGGCTGCCCCTGATTTCAGCCAGAGCAAAAGGCTTCATTCTTGCCAAGGTGAAGTGTTCTTTAATTTGCATGTCCTTGAACACCAGGGACAAGGAACATCTCTTTGTGCATTTGTTGGCTATTTGTATATTTGTTTGGCTATTCTATGGAGCCCTGGTGCCACAGTGGCTACTCATTGAGCTGCTAACTGCAGGATCAGTGGTTGAAAACCACCAGCCTCTCCTCAGGAGAAAGGGCTTTCTACTCCCATAAAGAGTTACAGTTTTGGAAATTCACAAAGCAGTTCTATAGGAAGGTCTGGGAACCTCTCTCTCTCTGTCTTTCTCTCCCTTCACCTTCCTGCTGGCTGACCCTAATTGTTGCCAGAACCCTGTGATACTTTCACCGCCATTGGATCCACATGGCTTTGCATCCACCGACCTGTGATATTCCTGCATTCTGCATCATTGCATGCAGCTGCGTGAGTCTGAAGAAGGACTTATGGACTAGTATCTGACTTATGGACTTGAGCTGTACTCAGCTGGGATGTTTTCTCGATATATAATTACTTCTTGATATAAAGCTCTTTCTTATACATATTTGAGTATCTCTGGATTGGTTTCTCCAGTCAACCTGGTCTAATACAGTGATGGAGTAAGTTGACATTTGATAGTAGTGATGGTTGCGTAATGTGATGAACAAAATTCATGTCACCGAGACAGCGAGTTTCTGATTAAAGTTGCTTTTTTAGCTTGAAGGTAAACAAGCGGCCATCTAGCTCAGAAGCAACAAAGCCCACATGGAACAACATATCAACCTGTGTGATCACAAGGTGTCGAACGGATCACTGAAGACAAA